ATAATTTCTGTTGATTCAATACGGAGTAACGCAAATAGTCGCAATTTCACTGTGTTAAAACAGGTAAATAGGAATATTATACCCAAAACACATTTAAAATACACCTGAAATCTGCCAAGTTGAATTAGGAAATCGGCCCTCGCTGCAGTGTTGCCATAACTCTCAGCACGGCTTGTAAATATAGATGGTTGTGGTTAAATCAATATTGTCTGTTTCAATTAATTAAATCCATAATCATCTTCCGTACCATTATTAGAGACATAAGCATCTGGTATCTATTAGCTTTTCTCATTTCCAATTACATACGCACTAATGCCTTTCTCGAAGTAGCAACATTTTGATGCGCATACCTTCTGTTTCAAAGTTCGTATTGAAAAATTGTTTTACAATTTTTTTATTAAATACCCAAGGACCATGCACAGGAAATTTCTTGAAATTCGGATCACTTTCACTCCAGCCAAGAATTCCAGTCAATTCATTTTCAAAAACTAATTGCATATTCGACAACAGAATTTTTTCACACCTGTGGGGGTAGGAGTTTTAGAAAAATGTTTACAAAATCAGAAAGGATAACCCAATATCGTACCCTCGTGAAGAGAAAAAAAGAGAATATAATTTTAGAAACTCTTTAAAAAGTAGCTTCTCTATGAATCAAAATGACCAAAATTAATTCTTAAGAAAATGAGAAGAGAAAATAGCACCCTTTGAGGGGCAAGGATTCAACTGACATCAGCAGTTAAGGCGATCACGGGATGCCATCAAGGAAATACATTCTTTCACTGAATCAAAGCGAATTAGAAACAATTGGAATATTCTTGTTCCTGTATATTTATTTCGCACCATCGAACGTCCTCACAGTTTAGTTGGTGCTTTCGCCATTTCTCGGTCTGTCCTGGGTCATAACTTTTTCAATGATAAAAAATTGCAGCTCTAACAACACAAGGTAATTTTTGAATATCAAACAAAAAGGTACCGAGAAGGAAATATCCGTTACCAACGTTGACCATAGGGTACAAAACAACACTACACAAGTAAAATGTTATGATAGGTATATAATACCGAAATGAAAAGCGTTGTACAGGAATTACGCGAAGAACGTTATTATTGTCTTGAATTAACCAACTCTCTCCTCGTCATCCGTTTGTGAAGACTAGTAAAAAGCATAAAAATGCTGTAAAACGCATCGAAGAGTATATCATTAACTGATTTAAAGCACAATAATTTACGTAAATCCCACTATGTAAAATTGAGCACCATATAACACATTTTGGGCCGCAAACACCGTGGGTGAATTAGAGTGTACAATTATTCAGCAGCAACAACAATCTTAAGTGCTCACTTATCTCAAGAACATTGATGGCTAATTTAGGTAGTTTAAAAAATAAAAACGCAAATTTTAATATAAAGCCATCAAAAATGAACCATATTTCAACTAAAATTCAAGATTTATGCGTTAGTAAAAAAGGTAAATGGGTAGGGGTATTCACCGTTCAATAAGTGTGTCATCTTATGATAACTCGGTGTTGGTTTTAGTCTCACATTCACGTGGTGTTAACCATCTGAAGAACGTCGGTGTGCATGCCCTGAATACGCGGTCCAGTTTCTTATATTCGAGTCGAGCGTTTGCGAGATGTTTCAGTTGAGCAAATGCTGTTTGGTGCTGTGTTTTAAATAATAGATGAACGAATATTATACCCAAGTGAAAAGACATGCGTTGGTGGCCTCGCCAGCGTCTGGGAGGTGTCCTCCTAGTATATTTTATAAGCGTACGGTTAGTGTGCTCGTTAAAGAATGCATCTGAGGAAGGAATTCCGGAAATGCGGTCCAAATTTTCGAGCGACGACCGACTGTTTGATTCGCTAATGCGTAACTGCAAAGTGCCTTCGATTACTTGTATACAAAAGACACTTTACGACCACCTCAATGATGTTTTAGATCGTGCAGACAATTACGAATTAAACGGGTTCGTCACATTTACGAAAAACAATGCAAGTTTCGATGGTGACAATGTTACCCTTGCGAGACGCGATCGTGCCGAAGAAATCGGAAATAAAGTATTACGGTTCATATTGACCCACAATGTGCAAATTCAAATGCCCGAACTGATGTTCGAAGGGTCAACTCTCGAAATATCGCCGAGAAGTGTAGACGGGTCCGGTTTGATTACTAAACTTGAGTTAATCCCAAAGGTTGTAAGGAAAGAGCTGGGAAGTCCGAGGATCTTCTTTAAGAAAATAAGTATGCAATCACTATGTATGTAAATTGTGACTAACGCATTACTCATTTCAGAAAAATTCATTGGCGAAAAACTGATGCATGCCCTACTAGCCATCGTGTTGGTGATCGCGTTGCTTCTTATCAAATTCTTATTCTTCCTTCCTTTGGTGGCCGGTGTAGCGGTTGCAAAGAAAGTGTTGGTTAAAATTCTATTATTCTTCTTTCCATTTCTATCTCACCTATTCAAGCTTTGCCCGTATGTTGACCATACAAATAGCTTAACGAAGTTCCATCACCACCATCATCAAATATCTCATCTTCATCACGTACCACCGCTTCACCATCACCTTCCCACGGAGCATCATCCGCCACATGATCCCCATCAGTCTTACGACATTGGCTTTGAGTACTATGGACACGGACCGGATATATCAGAAGGGTACGTTGATTCTTAGTGTGTAGATTTCTCACCGGCTCAGTCCGCTTATGGCATACGAGTGCATATTAAAACACCCACGTGGTTATCTGACACTACGCAGGACGATCTTCTCCAAATCTTTTATTGCATAGAAGCTGATTTTTAGGTTAATCGGTTAAAAGAAAGGAGTCCAATTATATTTCATTTAATTACGCGCCTTCGAGAACCTTATTATTGCCTCTAATTACGTTGTTTAGCATAAAATTAATGTTATTGCCGAAATGATGCGAAAATTTACTACAATCGTCGGTAATAAAATCCCAAAACAAAAAAAAACCGCCGATTTGTAATATTATCGAGGACGAAGAGAGAGGAATTAATAAGATTTATTTTTACTACGTCCCCTTTTTTACTACTAGGTACTAAATGCAAAGTGTAACTTTGCTGTAAGTGTCACCTTTAATTATATAGGTAGATCCATATGGAAAAGCAGGTGCAAAGTGTAGTGATTTTTGTAGTAGGTATAATGGATAGCAACGAAATGAAACTAATTTGAAAAGGAAATAGTTACCTATACATTATGAGAACGATATCTACATAAGGGATCGAATACAGGGCTCAATGTTTTATTAAATTGGAAAGAGAAATGCTAGGAAAATGAAAATAAGCATTTTTTTGTTTACTTATTTAACTGGCATTTTGCTGAACAATCATCTCCTGTTTTTATCTATCCACTATCACATATTTTTGGAAACCTCGTCATATGCAAAAGATACAGATTATACATTGACGTCAAATACTCGTACTCTTAGTTCATTAATCACAAAATACAATCTTTATGACTACCAAAGAATCACCAGAATGAGAGATCAAAAACCTGGTATTTTTTCATACAACATACCTGATATTTCACAAGGATTACCTTTTAGCCTTTTGACGTTCTTCAGTATTTGTTCAGTTATTAAAGAGTGCGAGTATTGCCAGCATCTACTTTATCAAGTTAAAAAATCTGAAAGTACGTTCCCTCCATCCATTTTTCGGACCGTTTGCAAGATAACTGAACAACTCTTTAACATAAAGTTCAAATTTGGTCCACAGATGAGCCACAAGTTAGAGAAACACCCATGGGCCAGTGTCAAAGGTTAAAAAAATTCTTAGAGCATGCAAAAAATTATGTACCGTGTGTTCTATTTTGGTTGAGACCGCTGTGTATCTCAGCGGTTTTTGTTTAGATAGAGACTTCGGTTTCCACGACCCTGTGGCACTTTTTTGTGGAACTTTTAATGCCATTAACAGAACTATTATTCGTTTCTGGAAGACTTTTGGTAATGTGTCATAAATCTTACTACCTACCCTACCCTGCTTGATATAGATATTTTTACGTAGGATCCAGTTGTCAAACAAATTGTTTGACCACCTGTTTTAGGATTTGATCCAAAGTTAGTATTTGTTAAATGCAACACCCTGTATATCTTAACGTGTTTTTTTGCATTCTTTTTGTTGATAACATTGTTGTATCACAATCTATATTTTTTTAATTTCAGCCATGATACAAAAATAAAGACCTTATTTTTTATGGTTTTTAAATAGTAGTCTATGGATTAATGGAGATGCCAATATATAAAAATTTAATTTGAAATGTCAGATACTGACAGTGTTTTTTCTTCTGAAGAAAAAGTTCGATTTACAAGTAAATATACAAGAAAATATACATATCCGTCTACTACATCCTCAATTAAGAACTTCAATATCTGTTCACAAGATTTGCTTGATGCTGGGCCTTCTAAAAACAATTATTTGGACAAAGAAGACAATATTTTGTTTGACACCAGTGCTTGTCAAAGTTATAAATGTAATGAATGTGACAGAATTTTTCAATCGCAAAGAGGATTCAATATTCATTTAGGAAAAAGTCATCCAGAAATTAATTCAGAGCCACACGAAAATCCGTGCGGTTAGGTAACCGAACACACGGGGCCTGTTCAACGCGTGAGAATTAAACCGGTGATAACGAGTGATAGTAAAACAGTTAAATTACCAGTTTAGTATGTTTGTAAGGATAAAGCGGAGAGAGGTGTATTCATTTCCAACAGAAAAAAAAACAGGGAAATCGGAATAAAGGTAGGAAAATTCTGGTAATTTATTTGGAGGATAAGTGATTAAGGTCGGGAAAATTCGTAAACGTAACACGGCAAGGACATTGCGCACGAACGTACGTGTGATAGCAGGCGGCGCGGAAACATTTTCCCCACCCCCCCGCCCCCGAAAAACCCCTTTTTCCGGGGGGGGGGGGACCCCAAGGGGGGCTGAACGTACGCCAGGCGGGTCACTGAAAGAATTGAGTAAGGCAGTGGCGTAACTGTGCGTTAGACGTCTGGGTTGCGACACGGACGCGGTCGGATTCTAAATAACGCGCTAAAAGATAACCTAGGCACATTAAGTGATCTGCATTTTGTTTTGAAAACTGAATCTAAAAACCTACACCAATTATAAGGCTTAATGACAGGAATTTATTGTTAGGTACAAATATCATTAGCTAATTTAGATTAAAGCTAGTGGTGTAACTAGCGGTAAAGGCACAATAACTCAGCGCTGAAATAAATGAGTAGCGATCTTGGAGAAACGGTAGATGCCAATTATAAAAGGAAAAGAAATAAAGCTTCGCCGGACCCATCCCAAAGGAGTAAGAAAACTTCGCGTAGCCCTTCAAGGGAAGAGCAAAGAAAACCTACAGAGAACGAGATGGAAGAAATAAAAGACCTCATTAACTCCATGAGGTGTGAAATAAAGGAGGATATGCAAAATAATAAAGATGAATTAATGGAAGGTATCAAAATTAATAATGAATTAGTTGCAAAACTAAGGGCAGAGTTCCAACAAAAAGAAATAGAATGGCAGAAAGAAAGAAAAGTATTAAGCGACCGTATAGCAAAACTGGAGCATATTGTAGAACACAGAGAGAAAAGAGACAGAAAGAACAATATAATAATAAAAGGACTAAAAACGAACGCAGGAAGAGCTAAAGAAGAAACGGAAACATTCTTGAGCACCAAACTGGATGCAACTCCCCACATCAGGCAAGTGAGAAAAATTCCAACAAAAGATGATTTTCCAATACTATGCGTAGAACTAGAAAATTGGGAGGATAAACTGGAAATCATGAAAAAAAAGAAAGTTTTAGGCCAAGCAAAAATCTACATAGAAAACGACCTTACCAAAGAGGAAGGGAGAATACAATCGGAAATCAGGAACAGAGCAAGAGAGGAAAGACAGAAAGGAAATCGTGTAAGGACCAGTTACCAAAGAATGACTATTAACGGTAAGAATTGGAGGTGGGATCTACAACTAGATCGGCTTGTCGAAGAGGACGCTCAGACAAAAAACGGGTAGGATCTCCAGGGAGCAGGAACATAACGACGGACAAGGCAATGGAATCGGCAAACGAATCAAAAGGCACGGACAATTATTACATTCTAAAAATTGGTACTTGGAACGTTAGAAGCATAATGGATAAGGAAAAAGAATTAGAGGAGGAATTTGAGAAAGCAGATTTAGACATTTTAGGAATAACTGAAACTAAGAAGAAAGGAACTGGAGAGATAGTACTAGATAGTGGACATCTCTTCATATACAGCGGAGTGCAACATAGTAACAGAGCTAGGGAAGGAGTGGGTTGCATAATAAAGAAGGACAAAGCAAAACACATA